AGTGTAATGGGAGAAAATGCAGATTTTGGAGGGATTTGCATGATTGTGTACTTCTGAAAATGTACGTGAGCATCAAAAATGCGTATCAATTCCATTTACACAGCGGAGCATTTGCATGGGCGGATTTGATGGTGTTTGCTGTTTCTCATGCTTCTGTTTGGGGCATTCACGCAATTCATGGTGAGGAATAAAATTCTCATACAATCCTACTGACGAGATGTACACATTCGAAAAATATGTTGAAAATAGATTTCTAAAATGTGCATGAACATGATTCAGTTAAGCGGTACATTAGTCAAATGTACAAGTATATATGTATACATTTTCTGGGAGAAAAAAAACCTGGGGCAGAACCAGCATTTAATGGACTTGGAAGTGGGAAAAGGAGAAAATCTATGGAATTGGATGATAGATTTGCCCATTCTTAATTGTGGTTAAAAAAAAAGTTGTCTGTAAGCTTCTGTCATAGTTTTACAGGTACTTGCACCCAACCAATGAGCTGATCTGTAACTAACCCTTCCTTAGAGCAGACTGAAAAAGTGGGGAAAGCTAGCAAAGGAATTTGAAGGCATACACATATCTTGAAAATACTTCTTGCCTGCTGTAATTTCCCAAACTGGTTATTCTGTTCCATCTATATTAACAGATAAAGTGTGCAAAGCTAAGAAAGCAAATAATTAAGACATGACTGAGTAAAATCTGTGTAGAAGGGGCAAAGGTTGACCATGGAATATCAGCTGGGTTAATCATGAAAAACATTGCACTATCATATTGCAAAATATATTCCTTTACTGCTAATTACTATGATGCATGTTATGTTTGGGCACAAAATTGCCCCCCGTTGGGAAAAGCACGGAAAGAAAACAGATAAAGGCATTTAGAATCTGGCAGGGGAATCCGTGGTGGTCACTCGTTTGGATGCTTTGAAAGGGGACTGGACGAATTCATGGAGGAGAAGGCTGTCCGTGGCTTCCAGTCATGATAGCCGCTCATTCCCCCGAGCATTCCTGGGGGACATGGGCAGGAGAGAACAGAATTCTCTGTCCCCTGCAGCACAAGTCCTGGGCCTGATCCACAGGATTCCCTGGGCTCAGCACCCCAGACTCTGCTCGGCTTTGCTGCGGCCAGGAGCTGGCGTGCCTGGTGAGTGTGCCCAGCATTCTCCAGGAATCAAGCTCCACACGAATGCTGCACAAACAGCGTCCCTCTTCCGCAACATGTGCAGCGGCCTTTGCATGTGCTTCGCATGATGTGTCACGGGAGGTGCAAGGCTGAATGCTGCGCAAGCTTCCTCCTGCCAAGACTTCCTCTCGGCTCGCGTTCGAAGGCAGGGCCGAGCCTAAGAGACAGCCCACAAACGTTAGAGGGACAGGCTCTGCGGACACAGCCCTAGTCTTCTTACGCCTCCCGATTTTACTAGCTTTTTGCCAGGGCCTGGCCTTGTACAGCACTGATGAATTCGGCAGAGACAATATATATGTGCACGGTTTGTGTGTGTGAACTGTGCATGGTCACCCTTTCCCTTTTGAGGCCCTGCAGCAGCTGCGGAGCTCAACAGAAGGTTGCCGGGGAACTCAAGTGCAGGGATGCGCTTCTGCTTTTGAACAACCTCTGGGTTTTCCAGAGCATCTGGACATTTTGTGAAGAGTCCCAGAGCAGATGGGGCTTTGGTCGATCTTGCAGGACTGCTCTGAGGAAACCCGCAGTCCTGGACTTTTCAGTAGAGTTCGTTCAGACCCATAATCCTCTGAAGCAAAAGACAACCAACCCCAGCCTTCCCCTTGAAGCCAAACCAAACAGAAAGTCTTCAAAAGCAGAGCCAGAAAGCTATCTAGAAGGCTCTAGATGTATAGAATCAGAATTCAATACTGATTATTTATTTTGCATAATTAATGAGGAACTATAACAAAAGTTGCTGAGGTTAACATGCGGTGGGAGAAAAATGGGCTTTAATGGCCCCCATAAAATCTGCTCTTCATGGCATAAAACTGCATATTGACTGGAGGGAAAGACTATAAGCTCCATCAATACAGTCAGCAATTAATATTGACCGATGAGCATATCCGGTAAGCGCACTCTTTCTGCCGCACTGCCTTGCGCTTACCCGTACCACAAATGTATATCTTCCCTAATGCCTCCCCTATAGAATCCTCCAAGTTGGCAGCTTTCAGAATTTGCAAGTATGATGTTTGCTTGTGCAGAGGCAAGCTCGATCCCCCCTTATTTTCGGAGTGGACTCTGCTGTGATCCCCTCCCAGTTCTCTTGCAAAGTAACATATTCAAGCTTCTTTCTTGGTGTTAGGCCTCCTTATTTCACTACAGTAGCCATTGCCTGCTATGGCAGGAGGGTGGCCAGAGGCTCAGAACAAACGACTGTATAAAAAAGGCTACCTGGTTCCATTTCAGCTTCATAACACGTGACTGAAGTTGTTGTTGTTCAGTCGCAAAGGCATGCCTGACCCATCACAACCCCCTGGACAACATTCCTCCAGGTTCTCCTGTCCTCCACCATCCCTGGGAAGAGCCCAACCCCACATCCACCGCCCCAGTGACCCCATCCAGCCACCACAACCTCTGCTGTCCCCTTCTCCTTTTGCTGTCAATCCTTCCCAGCATCAGGTTCTTCTCCAGGGAGTCCTTCCTTCTCATGAGGTGGCCAAAGTATTTGAGCTTCAGCTTTAGTACCTGACCTGCTAAAGAGCAGTCAGGGCTGATTTCCTTTTGACTGAAGTAGGTGAGGCCAAAAGATGGTGTCTGGCCCAAAGTCACCCAGGCCCTTTACAATGGGATGGGATTTGAACTTAAGTCTGCTGAGTTTGGTCTGCAACCCTAACACTTCCTTCTTCAACCCGGTGCCTTCCAGATGCTTTGGACTGAAGCTCCCAGCATGCCTGAACTCTGGCCATGCAAGCCGACTCAAGGGAGCCGAAGTCCAAAACAGCTGGTAGGGGAAGGCTCCAACCCAGTGGTGTGGTGGTAAATTTCAGCATCCCTGTTAATAAAAGTCCTGGTGTTACGTCCTTGCGAGCTCTGGTTCTGCTACACTGCTGCTCCATCCAGCTCCGCGTTACAGGAAGGATACAGCCAGGTTGGAGTCAGTGCAGTGCAGGGCCACAAGGCTGGTGGCCGGTTTGCAGGGGATGCGAGACTGAGGGAACTGGGTCTCTTCAGCCTGGAGGAGACTCAGAGGGGATCTGTAGGCGACATACAGGTACATGAGGGGATGTCACACGGAGGTGGGTAGAGACCTGTTCTCCCCTGCAGAGGAAGGCAGGATGTGCTCCAACGGAGCAAAGCTCAGGGAGCCAAGGTTCCATTTGGATGCCAGGAAGCACTTCCTGACAGTCAGGACCCCGAGGGTGTGGAATGGGCTTCCATGAGGGGTTGTTGAGGCCCCATCGGTGAGGGATTCAAGGATAGGCTGGACATGCACACAGTGGGCATGCCATGAGCGGAGCCGGCTGGAGCCGGGGGTCAGACTAGATGGCCTGGGAGACCCCTTCTGACTCACTCCGTTTCTATGTTTCTAAAGAATGCTTAAGGAGAGGAGAAGGAAATCTTGTTTCTATGCAGGGTCACCTTTCCTTGAGGCTATTTTGTTGTGAGGCACGAAACAGCAACCTGTGAAGCCATGCTGTCTCCCCTTTTGGTTACCCTTCTCTCTCTCCCCTTCCCAACCCTCCTCTCTTTCCTTCTTTCTCCTTCTCCTACCAAGGAGAGGGCACATGCCTCCCTCCAGCAGTCCCAGCCCATCGCTTGCAGAAAGCTTTTGGAACGAGGCGAAGGGAAGGGTTGTGGCCATCCCTCCCAGGTCAACATCCAAGTGCGCGAGTGCTTGATTTCTACAGGGGAGAAGGGATTGGGCCAGCATCCAGGTTGCTCCCTTAGTAATGCTGACCTGAGACCCTACAGTTGGATGTTGGTTCATCTTCATTTTTTAAATCCACACTCAGGTCATATACTTGTTATTGGGAAAAACAAACAGAAAAGGACTCCCTCTTCTGAAATTAATGCAGAAAATGTGGGGGTGGAAAAGCTCCGTCGCAAGACTGCATGTACCAAAAGTAACACCTCCTTCCCACAACCTCTCCCCTCCCCACAACCACAACTCACACAACGGAGCTGTGGGAAACAGCGGAAGGGCGATAACGGAAGCAAGAGTCGCGCAGACAAAACCCACGCCCCTCCGTGGACGACGCATCACATCTATATTCAGAAACTGGCAATGTAGCAATTCAATTAAAGGTGCAAAGGGGCACGCCAGTCGCGGTGTGACCTCGGTGTGGTGCTGCCCACACTCTCAGTATGAACACGCCAGGGTCAAACCGCAATTGTGTATCCAAGTTCGCTTGCTTTTGCTCACATAACTGTTGACCAAAAAAGCTCCAGCCGCTCGCAACCCTACAACCACGAAATGTATTTGTAGTCAGGGAGACAAGGCTGAAGAGATAAAAGGAAAGGGGGAAAAATCCACCCAGTGACCTTCAAGGTTTCATAAAAGACGAGCGTCTAAAAATATTTTTTTTCCTGTCACCCTCTCCCCCTTAGAGAGCAGTCAAGGATATTTACATAAGCGGCGGGAGTCAGCGAGGACGATTTTAGAAATTATCTGCTGGAATATCGGTTCAGGAGATAGAGGAAAGCGAGGGAGAGAGCGGGGAAATGCTTGATAGGCCAACGTTTTATTTCTCCTTTTTGCCTGAGCACCCCTAGAAGAGCACATGGGCCACGCGAGGGTCACCACGTTTTCCTGATGAATGAAAGCAGGGACTTCTTCAGCGATTCGATCCTGAATATTTTGTGCGAGGGCACAAAAGCCCATGGCATCTCACCATTAAAAGAATACCGGCCTTCCCTTTCCACTCCTGACATCCTCAAATCGATGCCCTGGGAAACTCAGTGAAAACTGGGCTACGGAACAATGAAAAAGACCATGCAACCGACGGGAGCATCTCTCGAAGAAGCAGCCCCGCCGGCCTCTGCCGGGGGCTCTGCCTTACCAGTTTCGGTGTTCTCGTGTTCTGTATCCGTGAGGGTGAGGTTGGAGTTGGCTCGGCTTGACAGGCAGGAGCTGCGGCCCGACTTGGTGTTGCGCCCCCAAAGCCGGACCGGGTGCTCAGGTGACAGGACCGCGTCAGCTTCCGTGTCGGCATCGGAGCCGGCGCTGATGGAATAGCCGCAGTGGGGCAGCCCTATATCTGTCCGGTATAAAGTCCCGTGAGGCGGAGAGACGTCGTCGAGGCCCAGTTCTCGCAAGGAAAAGTTGGCTCCTGAGCGGGGGGCAGTGGGGTGTTGAGAGGAAAGAAGAGTGAAAAGTATCGTTGGATGATCCAGTATAACAGACATAATATTGTTGAGTAATCCAATCTAATTTATATAATACATCATATGCAATATATCTTGTATAATATAGCATATGTAATATATCATACTTCATATGTAATATATCTTGTACATCATATGTAATATATCTTATATATCATATGCAATATATCATATATCTTATATATAACAGAGACACTTTCTGATGATGTAGGCATGGAATGAAGCTGGAATGGAGACAGCAAATGTTTTGCATTGGCAGCACCTGCAAGGTTCATAGTTAAGTAGTGTGGTTTAGCGGGCACTTGTAGCTGTCCAGGTGGATATTTGGCAACCTCCTGGGCTGGGTGTGGTCCCAGTGCAGCCAGTGGTGAGTTGAGCCAGGCCCAGGGGGACACAGTGCCAGCATTCTCCATCAGCAGGGACACTGATACACTTCGATTCCCCTGCCACAGACGCACCTGTTCCCTTTAAGCTTCTCTGCAATCCTCACAGGAGCCAGGGGCAAATGGATCTTCCCAGCCATAACACATTGTTCCCGATTGAAATGTAAAGCATTTGGGGGTGGCTGGACCTTCAATGGGCAGCTGAGACCCATTAGCTTTATGGGGCAGGTGCACATTATTATTATTATTAATTAGAATATTTCTATGCCGCCCCTTGCCGAAGCCTCGGGGCAGCTTACAACACAATAAAATACAATACAATACAAAATAACAATATAAAATTAAAATTAATAATATAAAATAAATAAAAAATATAAACGATATAAAAGAAAAGTTATAAAAGAAAAGTTATAAAAGAAAAGAAGTCGCCCTGGCCAGATAAATAAGTAAATATTGTTAACAATTAAAATGACGTTTAAATAAAAAGGTCTTCACCTGGCGCCGAAAAACAAATAAGGACGGCGCCAGGCGGACCTCTCTGGGGAGCGCGTTCCATACATGATGTGACGTGATGTCCACAGTGGTTTCTTGCACAGGTTTCTCGGTCTGTTGCATCTTCTGCACCCTGTCATGGCATTTCAGCATGGTGCCTTTGGGTTTTAGAAACCACAGTAAGAAACACCAGCGTGTTTGACAGTTTCCATGCCTCAGCATGGCTTCTTCGGTTGCCAAAACCTGGCATCACGGTTTCCATAGTCCTGGTGTGCAGCTACCAGGGCGTACCCTGAAAAAAGTGGCAGCTGCAAAAATTGGTCCAGCCATCCAGCCTGAGATTAAATTTCAGGTGTAGAGATTGCTAGAAAACGCGCCAACAGTGGGAGGACTGAGTGAGGAGGGTGGAAACCACGCTAGCATAGAAATCACTTGACTGCCTGTCAGGCACATCTAGGCAAAGCCCCACACATCATGGAAACCACGCTGGGTTGCTTGTTGTGATGTGTGAACCAGGCTATAGAAGACTGACTCTTGATGGGTATGAAAACTCCTAGAAAAGTTCTGTCGAAATGACTCAGTCCAGTTGCCTGCAATTTTGGACTGTCTTGGGGCCACGGCTACAGGGTCAGACATAATCAGTGTCTGGTAAATGTCAACATTTACCACTTCGCCACCGAGTACAGCAGTCCTTCTGCCTTACCACACTGGCTGTCTCAAATGCACCACACAAGTCGCCCAATGACTTGCTTCTGTTCCCATCCCACCAACTACATAGCCTCTAATCCTATTTATGTATTCCTGTGTACACCACCTTTCCGAACAAAGGTTTTATCAAGGGAGATTACAATGAGTATCATTAAAATTCTAAGAACCAATTTAAAAAGTGACAATTAAAAACAAAACTAAAAACCACAGCCTAAAGCCATTTCTTCTCCAGGCCAATAAAAGGGAATTATAGTTTAAGCATTTTAAAAAAGCAGACTGTAATGAAAAGATATTTAAGGCCCTCTAAAGAGCAGTCAGGGAAGGGACCAAGCATACATCCCTTAAGAACGAGATTCATCCATAGGAGGCCACCATAGGAAAGGCAATGATCTCTTTCGCTCACCAAGCTGATTGACTTTAATAGTGGGCTTCTGGGACCAACTTCCAAGCCTGGACAGGTTCGTGTAGGTATAGGTGGTCATTCAAATAACCAGGTTCCCAACTGTTTAGGGTGTTAAAAGTCAATATCAGCATTTTAAATTGGGCCCAGTAGTGACAAATGTAAGCAGCACAGATAATATTAAATCAGAGGAATATCCGGCACCAACTGAAGCATCAGAATGAATTTTAAAGACAGCCTCATGTAAACTGCATCTCAAGAGTTCATCCTGGATTTTGCTGGGACAGGATCTACTACAGCATCTAAAAACAGGTCCTGCCAGACAAACCTTGTGGGATTCTACGACAAGGTTTCAACGTGGTTAGATGGAGGGGATGCAGTGGATGTGGTATACCTGGATTTCAGCAAGGCCTTTGACAAAGTGCCCCATGATATCCTGGTGGAGAAACCGAGGAGTTTTGGGATACACCAAAGCACTGTCCGGTGGATTAGGTCATGGTTGACTGACCGAAAGCAGAAGGTAACCATTAGTGGGGAATCATCAGGATGGCGGCCAGTGACAAGTGGGGTCCCCCAGGGCTCTGTCCTGGGGCCGATCCTGTCATTTCATTAATGACATGGAAGAAGGGGTGAACAGTCTGCTGATCAAATTCGCAGACGATACTAAAACTGGAGCAGTGGCCACAACTGAGGAGCAGGTACTCCAGATCCAAAAGGATCTGGACAGATTATGGAAGTGGGCAGGAGACAACAGGATGGCGTTCAATGGGGATAAGTGCAAGGCCTTGCACTTGGGGCATAGGAATGGGTGTCATAAGTGCAGGTTGGGGGACAAGTGGCTGGAGAGCAGCACTTGTGAAAGGGACCTCGGGGTGCTGGTTGACCGCAGGGTGAACGTGAGTCAGCCGTGTGATGCGGTGGTCAAGAGGGCGAATGCCACCCTTGGTTCATAGCCAGAAGTGTGGCTTCTAGATTGAGAGAGGTATTACTGCCACTCTACACGACTCTGGTGCGCCCACAACTGGAGTATTGTGCTCAGCTTTGGGCCCCTCATTACAGGAAGGATATAGCCAGGTTAGAGTCAGTGCAGCGCAGGGCCACAAGGCTGGTGGCCGGTTTGCAGGGGATGCCGTATGAGGCGCGACTGAGGGAACTGGGCCTTTTCGGCCTGGAGGAGACTCAGAGGGGATCTGTTGGCGAAATACAGGTATGTGAGGGGGTGTCACATGGAGGTGGTGAGAGACCTATTCTCCCCTGCAGAGGAAGGCAGGATGCGCTCCAATGGAGCCAAGCTCAGGGAGCCAAGGTTCCATTTGGATGCCAGGAAGCACTTCCTGACAGTTAGGACCCTGAGGGTATGGAATGGGCTTTCATGGGAGGTCGTTGAGGCCCCATTGGTGCGGGTGTTCAAGGATAGGCTGGAGATGCACATAGCGGGCATGTCGTGAGCGGAGCTGGCTGGAGCTGGGGGTCAGACTAGATGGCTTGGGAGGCCCCTTCTGACTCATTCTGTTTCTCTGTTTCTATAGTAGGGTGGTGGGGCTCCCAGGGACTCGGGGCTTCAGCCCTGGCGGGATGCTGCATAGCACTGCCTCCTACATCATGGCTCTGAACATGCAAGTGTGTTTGTGTGAGCATGCACATGTGGTGGAGGAAGAATACCATGTCCACTTGTTCTGGCCTCCAAGCTCCATGTATTCATCAAAAGGATGGAGCAGGATGTGTGTACAAATGCACAGATGCAGTTTGTCCAGACGGCCACAATATCTACAGGTTCCAAAATTCCTGACCGCATGCAGGGAGTTACCGATCTAGCTGCTATGTTTTGATATTTTAATGAACATGTGGAAACTTGAGCAGGGGAGGGGTGCAGGCGGAAGTGTGTTTCCCTTTCCCCATGGCTTGGTGGCATGTGTCGGGCTCTTTGTCACGCTATGTGGGAACACCATCTGAAGTCCAGCATGGCTGCGGAACAGAATGCTTTCTGCATCTCACAAAGCCGTTCGATTTGGGACCCTGGGCGCACCTGCCAGACTCCTACCCAGCCAACATTTTCTGCTCTGATAATGTCACAGAGAGAAGGTTCAGCTGGAGAACAGAGAAACAGCAATTGTTTAGCTGGCTAAAAATATTACTTGGGCAAAAAAGCCTCTCAGATTTATGTTGAGTTACCTGCAGAGCTACACAATCAGTTCAAGGCAGAATGAACAAACATCCAGATATTAGCCTTCTCTCTGCGAAAGGGTGTTATGCAGGAAAACGGTCTAGACCGATTAGTGATTCTCTTCCAAGCTTCGTCTATTCATTAACTTTTCTATTCTCTGCCTCGTTTACTATTTTATGAAGTGGCATTGTAGTATTATGCGAAAGTACTCAGAAAAACATCTGTCCTAAAGATTTTAGTTCCATGTACTATTAGGATGATGCTATAATATAGATTAGAGATAGTGACATGGGCCAAAGCTAGTCTGGAAAACAATTTTTGACCCCCACCCACCCCCAAAAAACAAATCTTAATTAAAGTGTCATGAACCATTTGCTCAGTTGTTGCAAGGAAAAGAAACTAGTTTTCAGAACTTAGGTAAGAAGGTGCTATTCGATGCCATCAAGTTCTGCCTTTTCTTTGGGGCTTCATTTGGGGGGGGGGGGTTGTTTCAGTTTGGTTTTGATAAGGATTTACCAAAATTCACAAAGTTCCCCATATCTGGGGTAAAAAGAACTTGAGGGGTTTTTTTTCTAGTTTTAATCAAATATGTAGAAACTGAAATGGATTCATCCATCCAGGCTTGGAGCTTAGAGTGCCCAGGCCTGCAAAAGTCTGACTTTGACTCCTGGTTGCGTTCTCACAACACGACAAGCAAACATGTGAAGTTACCACGGTTTAAGTATTTTAACCATGCTCTACCCAAGAGGCAATCAAGCAGTCTCTACTTTATCATGGTTTCCATCCTCCCTGCTTCGT